GTCAAACCCTGGCCAAAACGAAAGTATCGAGAATTCTAACGAAAATTTGGCAAATGCGACGGAAAACTATGGTTTAATCGAAGGTTCAAGTAATCAAGCGACGATCGAAATTGTAAACGAAGGAAATGTAACGAGTGACAACACTACGACGTCGGTTCAATTTAAGTCAAATATGTCGAAGCTCCTAAGCTGGAGCTTCCGAAATATTGTGGCAAAGTTTCGGAGTGGAGTTCGTTTTGGGATCTGTATGATTCTGCGATTCACAGTAATCCAAACATTTCGAAGGTAAACAAATTCAACTATCTGAAATCGCTTCTCGAGGGAAACGCAGCGAGGGCCACAAAAGGTCTAACATTAACTAATGCCAAATACGACTCAGCTGTAAAAATCTTGAACGATCGCTTCGGGAAAACCCAGCAAACCATAGCAGCTCACATGGATGAAATTTTAAAGATTCAAGCTTGTGCCAACGGTAGAACTAGCCAATTAAGATACATATACGGTAAAGTAAGCGTTCATGAACGAGGATTATCGAGTCTTGGCGTTTCTTCTGAACAATATGGTAGTATGCTTATCCCGATTATCATGAATAAATTACCTAGTGACATTCGTCTACAAATTGCCCGAAAATCGTCGGGAGACGTTTGGAAAATTGATGAGTTGTTGGATACAATAAAAACTGAGATCATGGCACGGGAGATAAGTGAAGGAGTGCAATCAGGTCCACAGCCACAGAATGGAAAAAATTCATGAGGTCAGCACCAAACACCCAGAATACTTACGGTTAACGCCTTTTCGACTCAAAATACTTCAGGTAAACATATTCAATGTGTTTATTGTAAAGAGCCACACTTTTCGGCATCGTGTGATAGAGTAACTGATGTGAATGATCGCAAGAGTATATTGAGGAGAAACAATCGTTGTTTTGTATGCCTGCGAATCGGGCATCTCAGTAAAAATTGCGAGTCAAAGAAGAATTGTAGACGTTGTCATGGGGCTCATCATCAATCGATTTGTGAAGTGATTAAGTCAAGTTTTACGCCTCCTCAACAAAAGAATGCATAAGATCCCAAACTTTCCCCCACTGGAAACAACCTACCAGAAACCAAGGAAGGAAACAACGTTCGCACAGCTACTATTATTGACGGAGATAATTACTTAACGACGAATACGGCAAAAACGCGTAATCAAGTTCTTCTGCAAACAGCTATTACATACGCCAATGGTGAGAATGGTTCCATTTCTATACCTGTTTGCGTGCTTTTGGACGGCGGTAGTCAGCGCACTTTTGTTACGAATTCGTTAAAAAACCGGCTTGGACTAGTTCCCATCAGAAAAGAGGTTGTTAACTTAAATACCTTTGGCAACCAACATTTTACAAAGCAAAAATGCGACTTGGTTCATTTGTCCCTGAAAGGAAAGAATGGAAATCGAATCATAACAGCTCTTTGCTTCCCAAATATTTGCTCTCCATTAACAACGACAATTGATCTCAAACATTATCCTCAACTGATGGAGTTGCAGCTTTCCGATACCAATATCCTCTCTGGACGACAGACGGACAGCAACATCGACATTCTAATTGGAGCAGATTATTATTTCGATATCATGACAGGCGAGATTATAAGAAGTGAAGGTGGTCCTGTTGTGATTAATAGTGAATTTAGCTGGATTATCACTGGACAGACGAATGATGGTGAAACTAATTCGAAATTATCAAACGTTATTTTAATCATCGAAGATTACTCTTTTTCAAAGGAATTTCCGCTTGACAAGAGACAACGCATATTACATGAATGCTTGAAACGGTTTTGGGAGATCGAATCAATGGGAATCAAAGAATCCAACGAATCACAGGATCAGGAGTTTCTGAAGAATATACAATAACTGGAGGATGAAGGGAGATATGAAGTGAACTTACCTTGGAGGTGGAAATATATTCCAAAATCAGACTGTTACGGTATGTGTTTGAAACGATTACACCAGTTGAAATGTCGTCTCGATAAAGATAAACCCTTATTGCAAGAATACGATACACTTATCAAAGATCTAGTGAAAGGAGGAACTATTGACCCACTTCTTATTGCACATGAAACCGGTTGTTCCCTACCCCATCATGGCGTACTTCAAGAAGATAAGGAAACTACAAAACTTCGCGTGGTTTTCGATGTTTCGGCAAGAGCTATTAAGGAAATGCAGTCACTCAATGATTGCCTCGAAAAGGGACCAAATTTGGTTCCACGTTTATTTGACGCCATGATAAACTTTTGAGGCTTCCCCACTGGGCTTGTTGCTGATATCAAAAAGGCTTTTCATCAAATACAAATTGCTCCCGAAGGTAGAAAGATGCTGAAGTTTCTTTGGTTTGATGATATTAACCAAGTTCAACCGATGCTAAAGGAATACAAGTTCCAACGCCTACCATTTGGTCTAACCCCAAGTCCTGCAATATTATCTACTGTTATTCGTCACCACGTTTCGAAATACAAGAATATCGATCCAGAAATAGTCTCTTTATTAATCGAGTGGTTATATGTTGACGATTTCGCTGGTAGAGCTTCTAATGAGGACGAAGCTCTATACATCTATCATAGATCTCGAAAATTAATGAGCGAGGGAGGATTCAAGCTTCGAAAATGGCATTCAAACTCGCAACATGTCCGAAATGTTATCGCGAATGATGAAGATCGACCGTTTGTTGAGGTGGAAAATGAAAAGTGGTCATCATATGTTAAACATATACCAAGTACGATGGTGGAAGACAAATTAGTAAAACCTCCTTCGCCTCATACAGAGCCACAACCTAAGTCCACATCTCAAGAGAACCGTATCAAAATTCTAGGAATCAGCTGGGATGAGAACAGCGACGAGCTTTGTTATGATCTTGAAGAGCTAGTGCATTATGCAAAATCACTTCCTGCAACGAAGAGGTCAGTTTTAAAGCTATCTGCGAAGATATTCGATCCTATTGGCCTTCTTGCAGCCTTCACTATCGCTATGAAGATGTTTCAAACCCTCTGCTCTTCTGGCAGTAATTGGGATGAAGATCTGTCTGGCAAGGCCTTATCACGTTGGAATTCTCTCGTTCACGACTTAAGGGCTTTAAGTGACATACGAGTACCGCGTTGTTACTTCCATGGTGGATACGATTCATTTCCGATTCATCAGATACATGGATTTTGCGATGCATCAGAATTTGCCTTTGCCGCAGTTGTATATCTACGAACGGAACATAAAAACGGTGAAATTGAAGTGAATTTAATAGCAGCCAAGACAAGAGTCGCTCCTATAAACGACAGACCATACCACGACTCGAATTGTTAGGCGCAACTACCTTAGCAAGATTAGTCGATTCGATTGTGAAAACGTTGACTTCAATAAAATGTATTGCTGATATTATCTTATGGACGGATTCATTTACCGCATTGTGTTGGATTCGAAATCATAAACTGTGGAAGTCGTATGTACAGAACCGCGTAAACGAAATCAGAAAGTTAACTAGTAGTTATAAATGGAGACATTGCCCTGGGGTAATAAACTCTGCCGACTTGCCTTCTCGTGGGTGTTCCGGAAGTGAACTTGTGCAATCTGGAATCTGGTGGAATGGTCCGCAGTTTCTCCAAGATACTGAAGAAAATTGGCCCGAAGATCTTTAACCGACAAAATTGGATGAGGACCATTGCTACACAGAGATAATACAAAATCCTCTTTCAATAACACATTCCTTGACGTTAACATCGCTTCCTGACTGTAATTGCATCCACTTGGAGAAGATTATTGACCAGACAGATATGGTACAAAGAACAAACTACTTCGTGTCACAGCACAAATTTTAAGGTTTATCAAGAAATCAAGAAACCAACTATACTCTGTTACGTCTGAGTTGAATGCTAATGAGCTACTCGAAGCTGAGAGATTATGGATCCGAAGTATTCAGTCAGCCGCGTTTTCTGACGAGTTACAATGTATTCGAATCGGTCGTAAAAATGTACGAGTTCAACAACTTGGTTTGTTTTTCGATGATGATCAGATTATTCGGTGTGAAAGTCGAATAGCCCATTCTACGTTACCTAATAGTGCAAAACAGCCGATTTGTTGCCTCCTAAGCATACCTTTTCGAAATTAATTATACGCGACTGTCACAATATAGTACACCACGAAGGAATTAGAGAAACTCTGAATTGCGTTCGAGGAAAATACTGGATCTTGCGTGGTCGAGAGTGCGTCAAGGGTGTTGTGCGTGGATGTATCAAATGCAAGAAATTCGAAGGTAAAGCTTTCCCAACAGCGAAGGAAGCATGTTTGCAATCAAGTCGAGTAAGCGAAGAGCCTCCCTTTTCAAACACCGGTATTGACTTTGCAGGCCCCCTTATACGCTACTAACAATCAAGAAATGGATAAGGTATATATCTGTTTGTTCACTTGTGCCTCCACTCGAGCGGTTCATCTTGAACTTGTTTGTTATTTGTCTGTGCTATCGTTTCTGCAAGCTTTCCGAAGGTTTGTCTCACGAAGAGGTTTGCCGTCTAGACTAATATCAGACAATGCCAAGACCTTCCAAAGTGCCTCAAGGGAAGTTGTTAATATACTGAGATCAACTGACATGCAACGCGAACTGGCTTCCAAGGGTGTCAATTGGGAATTTATGATTGAAAAGGCACCTTGGCAAGGAGGATTCTACGAACGAATGATACAAAGTACAAAGAGATGTTTAAAGAAAACTCTCGGTCGATCCTCAATGGATTTTGAAGCGCTTAGAACCATTTTGGTAGAAATTGAGGCTACCATTAACAATCGTCCACTTGCATATATCTATGATGACCAAGAAGGAATTTCTTACCCTCTGACTCCATCTCAATTAATTTACAGACGGCAAATTACTCTTACGGCTAGTGATCGACAATTTGAAATCATCAGTACGAATCGAACTCTAACCAGAAAGGCGAAATATCAGAAACGTTTGTTACATCAATTTATTAATCGTTTGAGAACGGAATATCTTTTAAGCGTCAGAGAGACTTCCCGCTTACTTCATGGAGCACAGAAGGAGAAGATAGCTGTCGGTGATGTTGTTGTGTTAAAAAATGATCTTTCCCCTCAAATTTTGAGGAAATTGGCAAGAGTTACCGAGCTCATAGTAAGTCAGGATGGTGTTGTTCGAGCAGCAAAGGTCTGTGTTGCGAGTACTACAAAGGCTCGATCGTCAGAACTACGTCGTCATATACAACAACTGATACCACTTGAGTTGAATATGCCTCCAGGTAATACCGTGGTTCCCAAAACCGCCAGTGGAATTGAGTCTAAAGACGAAAACTATATGAAAACCCGACAACGAAGAACGGCAGCCGTGATTGGAGACCTATTGCGACAGTCAAATAGTAAAAACTCGTGGAAATAAATTGATCAATATGATCAACGTCGGGAGTGTGAAGAACAGTTGTTTTTTATTTTGTTTTGTTGTGACGTAGCGCGTGCATTTCACGTGATTGACACTTTAGGATTATTACAAAAGAGGTGAGTTGTTGTTAAAAATAAAAGAATTCGAGATGTTGTTGTTGTTAAATTATGTAGTGTTTTTCTTTTGACGACTTCGTTGTAAAAAATAACGATTTTATCATGCAACGTGCATGACACAGTTTGCAAAATCGTGTCGTAATCATTGACATTAAAATCCTGTCTTAGATCGGTGATTATCTATTCCTGAGTTAAAACTTGTGAAACTTTATAAGATTTAGCAGTAGTCCTTTGGAATTTGACTAATCTCAATATTATTATGTACTCTGCATGAGGTTATGATGTATTTTTATTTCTATAACAATTGTTTTTAGTCAGTGATGTACACTTAGTTATATAACTAAAATGTTCTACATAGATGTCATTAATGTTTTATAATACTATTTGTTGAAGGAGATCCTGGCTCACTCTTCATCTTCGTTCGTTATTTGAAAGTGTTTATGTAACAAAACGTACATGGATAAAAGATTGATGTAACAGTAAGGTATGGATTATGATCATCATTTTTTAAAGTGATATGTATGTAGTGCGTTTTTTATTTTAAATTTCTTATCTTTTGTTAGGTAGGTAACATGTAAAGAACTAAAGCAAACATAATTTTTTCCACACGATCGTCGTATATGAAGTCTTATTTCTAAAACAAAGGTAATTTTACGTAATTTAACTTAGATTTTCTATTTACATTTCTAACTTAACAAATTTGATACCAAAGCATTGCGTAGTATGAAGTATGACTATAAACAAATGAATGTTTATTTCCATTCCAAATGAAAATCGTTTGAATGATTCTATAAGTGATTTTTAAAGCTATATTTAATACCACGAGTAGAAAGTAGGTTTCATTTTTTGTTTCAAATTATCCACTATAAAAATTGCGGCTCTTACACGAAGAAAAGATTTGATAATAAATAATTCTGAGTCAGTGATGCGCTTGACATTTACAAACGTCACGTCATAATGTGACATTTCTTTTTAAATATAATTAAACTTAAGTAAACATTACAATGTACAAATCATCAAAACTAAAGACAGAATTCATTTTGTAAAAGAAATTTTTAGAGTACCTGCTCCAGATAAATGACGTGACCATGAACCATTTTTGACCGTCTGACAATCTTCGGAAGATAAAATTTCTGAATTATTTTACGAATTGATGATCTGTTTAATTTATTCTAAATAGCTTTAATTTACCAAAAATGGCACACACATCCTTTGTAAGCGGTACAATTTAGTCTTTGGTTTCGATTCCCAATACACTGTTCTTGTGTCAGAAATGCCCTTATTATAGTTGAGGTTTTTAAGTAATTTCTGACGTAAACATCTAAAATTGTACATTGTCATAAGAAAGGCATTTATGGCTATACCTATATTTAAAATAATTATGTTCTCAGCTATAATTTTATTGGCAAATGTATGCGGTCCAGTCTGAAAACGAATTTCTTGAAATTCATTCACTCGGAAGAAGTCTTTAAAGTAAAGAAGATGATTTTTTTTATGTAGTTTATGTGTAGAAAAAATAGCCATTTTTCATGGCATATAATAATACATACGAATGCTTCAATTTGATTAAATGAAATTTTAGCTTTATAAAAATGTTCATAATGGTTATTGACACTTCCATTCAATTTTGAGGGTAAATGGGATTATAATTTACATTCGTTTCCCTCAAGTGGAAGGTGGTCCTCTAGCTGGTGGATAGTAAATTTCAGCAGGTGATTTATCAGCTTTATCTACCGCTTCATAAGTTATAAAGCATACATATTTACTAAGTGGTATAAAATATCCCTTACAATTCAGCCCAATGTTATACTTGGAAATGTAAAATTACTTATGACGTTTAAAGTGCCTATGACATGAAAATTTTTATGTTTGCAATCACCAGAACTTTTGAAATGACATTGTACTTTCTTGAACAGTTAATGCATATCTCTTTTCCTTCGCGAGATATTGAAGTTTTTGTTATTTCTATTTCATCCAACTTGTGACGTCATATTGCATAATGAATTCTAAAAATTTTTCTAATACTTTTCATTTTCTTGACAACTTTAGGTTGATACTAATAGGCAGAATTTTATACCATTAAACACGCCACAACAAAGGGAACTATTTCCTTGTGAAGTAAAGTATCGTCAAATGTACCTAATACTCCTAACTCTCATTAGGTTGACGTCACAAGTGAGATAAATCGGACATAGCATAAATCTCAACATCTCAAGAATTAAAAGTGGTATGCATAAACTGTTTTAGAGTCTCGCGAAGTCAATCCTCGTTGCCAAAGTCATACACGGTTGTAAAGTCCAGAAAATCTAGCTGTCATATGTTACAACTCATTGTAAAATAAAAACGTTTCTAAGATCTTGATTAAATAGATGTAGTACACTCTAGAATAAATCCAAACAACTTAATAGACAAAAATGTCAGCATTCGTCAATTCAAGATAAATCTTTCGCACTTATTATACATTATATAAATCGTGTTGTTTTTAATGTTTGCAACGTTGTGTTTAAAAGGCTGCAGTAACTGGAGAAAGCTGTAGCATTGTTCTTTGTCATTTAGAAGTTATTCACGTTCTTTTGTTGTTATAGTATGCTCTTTGAGAGGTTAATTCAATAAAATAAAAAAGCCCAAAAGCTCAAAATTCATATAAATGATTTACAAAACTTTAAACTAAAACTCTCACAACTAATACTGAGTGCTTTCATGTGACATTAATGTGCGGATACCTACCAGATGATATGGGATCTGAGATGATAAAATCAACATATCTTTCCACTATTTTCTACCTGTAGAGTAAATACAAGGTCTTCCAGCAGTTATAAGATTATTTTGTAACTTTACTCAGTAAGTGTGAGTGTGAGGGAGTTTTTAGAATATAGGCAATAGAGAGCACCGTAGTTAACCTTACGTGTATTTAGGTGTATATTCAATATTCATTTAAGAAATCTTAAATACACAGCACTTGCATTTTGGTTGTGCGGATTTAGGCACGAAATAATTGTCATGGTTACAGCGCATGAAATAAGCAAAATATCAGAAAATGAGGAAAACTATGAATATTTTTCTATAAAACTAATTAAAATATTATTGAGTCCACTTACAAATTATTGCACGAAATGCTGTTAATCACTCAATCTCATGAAAATATTATTTAATTCAACTATTTTATATGGTTCAGCTACGTAATTAATGTGAGATAGTAAAACACAAAAGATTCTACTTATGGAATTCTGCACAACTTCTGATGGTGAGGTTTATACGGTAAGGAGCTCCCAAGAGCTCAAAACACCAATACCAGACTTTTAGTACTTATAGTAATTTCAGAAATACAATTTTTTAACAGTGCAGCTAAACATAAAAGTTAGCTTTTAATGTCATATTCGTCTTCACTCTTTTCCCAAAACAATTTACAGTAAAAATTAAATAATTAAATAATGAGGTATATTACATTGTATCAATGAGTACCACAGGCTATATATTCAGCAGAAATGTGGTGAAATATCATCTAAATACGTCGTGGAAACTGTTTATCTTTATATTTATAAAATTAGATTTCTACCGTATCAATTACTTCTTAATAGCAACTTTTTTCACCCCTAACAGGTTCTGTTGTATCTAAATTGTTTATTGATGTAGTTCGCTTTCATTAAAATATAAAATATTCTAGAGTTCTAGTTCGTTTTTCAATTCTTCATTTGACCTGACAGCACCATGTACCCGAGCAGGGAGATTAGGAAATGTTCGGAGAAAATACGCCTTGTAATCGCCAATCTTATAAAATGGTTCTGGTTGTGGTTTTTCCCATGTTAGATCTTTCCAATGCTGGTCAATATTTCGAATCAGTCTTAAGCATTTTGTCCATGAAGATTTATAGGTCCTTCCATTCACCAAATAATCATAAACATCACTACCCATTTGACTTTCCAAATCTACGGATTCGCTATTTAGTTGTTGAACGACACTTGCCTGGGGATCATTTGTCTTAATCTGTTGAAGATTTCCAGCTTTACTTAACATTTCAAACTTCTCATCATCTGACATGAGAAATGGGTGCTTTAATGCTTCGTTAGAATATGGTCTGTCTTCAGGTTTTAGATTTAACATCCACGACAGAAGGTCCTTTAATGTTTCATCCTCGATTTCATCCAAACCAACAGGGTTTCCATTTAACATGTTAATCAGTCTGTAGGGTTTAGTTCCAAAAGGATGTTTCCCTTTTGTTGCAACATAATAAGCTACCATCCATGCATTCTAAAATAATAAAAAGCGTTACAACAAAATGAAATTTCACAACATTGAAACTTACAAATGTTTACATTCCTACACTTACATAAACATCAGACCTTCCATTGTAGCGCGCTTTTTTACTGATTCATCATCTTCGCGATATGATTCAGGAGCTATCCAATGCAGGGTTCCCATGGAAGAATTACTTTTATATGTTGTAGTGTCATTCTTCATTATTCGACTTATGCCAAAGTCAGCTATCAGAAATTGGCTTTTTGAGACTCGCAGAACATTGGAAGGCTTCAAATCCCGATGTAGAATAGGAATTGGGCCGCTATGAAGATCAGCTAATCCTTTTAAAATTTGTCTAAGAATATCAGGAAGAGCTTTTTGAAGATCATGCAAAGTAGAATCTTCCACAAACTTTACCAGTGATTCTTCACCTAAGTCTAAGATCAAATAAATATAATCCGTTCCATTATCTTCGTCTAAGTCGAAATAATTCACAACATATTTCGAATTTCTTGCTTTAATTGCTAGATTTAGAGGTTCTACCGAACATCAGATAGAATCATAAAAGAGTTTAACAACATAACGATTGAGAATATATTTTAACATAAAATGTGCTCTCTTTTATAAGGCAGAACAACAAGTACATAGGTCACATGATTAACAATCTAGTTGAGAGTTATACACTGTGATGTCATTTCCTTTTAACATTAATATCATGCAAAATTTTCTTTTCTTGCTGTGCAAGCTGGATAAAGCTATCTCGATGTATTTGTTTGACTGCTTTACCGTAACCATCCTTACCCAGTCCAAGGAAAACACGGGTTGCATTACTTCCTTCGCCAATGCAAAATTCTTCTAAGAATATTACACGTACATTGCCCACGACTTTAACCTCAACATTGGGATTGCGCCCATATTCAATCAATTTTAAAAACAATTCTTCATGTTTCGTTGATTCATCAATGTAGTTCCACTATTCTACATAAAAATATTATAATCAAGGGTTAAAGAAACAAAATAAATACATTAAAATAGCTTAAATTTCACCAATTAGGAAAGGATACTGATACCGTACACTTTAAAAAAACGTATCAACAATTATTAGACATTTCGTAAATTTTTTAACTGGTAACATTCGAGGTTAGCTTATACCAAACAATTAATCACAAAAACTTCTCTCTGCACTTATTTCATGAATTTTTCTTAAAGAGTAACCTTGCGTTTTTCGAAAATATTAAATTAAAATTTTGAGAGCATATATTTTTTGGAGTGTAAAAAATTCTTTATACCAAAAGATAACAAATAGCTTTATTCAATTTTTCTTTCTATTCTCGACACTCGTCTTTTAGATAAACTATCTTATGTTTGTTGCCAAACATTAACATTGAAAATCGATCTCAACAATTATTCTCTCAAACGTTGTTTGGACATCTTAAAGTGCCAATGAAACGAAAATTTTGCTAGTTAAATCATATCTGTATTGACCAGAACTTTTAAAATCACATAGTGCTTTGTAAAACCTTTTCTGAATGACTTTTTTATTCTGAAAATGCTGAAGTCCTTGCAATTATCAATTTATCTAACTTGTGACATAATATTGCATGCAAAATGAGTCGCTTCAATGTTTCAAATACCCTCAATTCTCCCGACAACTTTAGGTTGATAATGGTACGCAGTAATTTATATCATTAACACATCACAAAGAAGGAAACTTCGCCATATTAAAATAATGTATCAACAAATTTAATTAGTACATCTAGTTCTCGTTATGCAATGTGACATCAGATAAATCAGACATAATAAAACTTCAATATCTCAAGAATGAAATGTGATATGCGTAAACTAGTACAGGAAGTTCATTATCATATTAAAATGGCTGTTCAATAAAAGTATAACACAGGTTGCAAAATTTTCGTTTCATTGGCATTTTATGCTTTAACTCTAAATTATCTGACACGTACTGTTTCTCTTATTCACCTTGCTAAAGTGAACCTCGTTATCTTCATTTCTGCAAACTCAAACTCTACCTCATGCTTTTTTTCATACTCCTGTAACATTGGTAGTATTAAAATAGAGACTTTGTTGTGGTGACAAATCTGAAAATCGTTTTTAAGATCGCCAATAACATAGTGAATTACTTTTACCATTCACCATGGTATTTGCGATCTTCAAAACGATTGCTAGTATTGTTTTCATTTTGCCGAATTGAAAATGATTATTTGCAGTTATCAATTATTTTATTAAGTATATGATGATTTATTTGCGAGAAACAATTTGTCTATCATGTGTCTATTTTGTCAGGGTTTTCGTTATCGAGAAGGTTTCCTTTTTGAGGAAAATTAGACCACTAAACTTACACTTACCAAGCTTGAGGTCTGAGCATATTTTTTCCCGTTTCATTTCTTCCATGCTGGCTACATCAGCTTTTGCAGCCATCTCTTGTTTTATTTCTGCAACATCTTTCTTTGTTGACATGCTTTCTTTGATTTTCTCTACTTCATTTTTTATTTCTTCAAAATATTTTTTTTTCATAACTTCAAAGTCTTTGTTTAATTCTTTTACATTTTCGTTGAGGGAGCTTCCTTTAATTCATCTATTTCAGTTTGTTCAATACCCAGACCAACCAATGCTTTTGAAATTTCCCGCCACAAATGCTCAAAATCACTGTCAATTAAACTAGTTGCAGTTATGTTATCGTACACTTTGTTTCAATAAAGCTTTATTCTTGCAATGTTTGCTGAGATTGAGGTATCTGAAGAGGAAGGAAGATTATTCCATCCACTATGTGGCGCTGTTAGACCACATATGCTACGCAATAAGACAGTCAATAATGAAATATCAAAGGTTTTAATGTCAGGCGAGCCATTTGATGGGTAAAGAAGGTTCCATTGCTCCTTGCTGATGACTTTATTCTTTCTTAATGATTCTAATTTATTTCTGTTAACATGACCATTAAGTTTATCTTTTAAGTTTGATGATTGATGGCTTATAATGAGTTGAAATGTTGTTTTTAAGGCTTGGGTTCCTTTATTGATTATAAGTTTACTCATACGAGTAAAATTTTCCTCAAACTTTAATTTTTCAGGTAGCGAAGCCATTTTTATTCTAGAAATGAGGAATGATTTTGTGAAAAAAAGTATAATTTAAAATGTACAAAATGTTCACAAAAGTTAAAAGGATAAATTAAAAATAGTACTACAAGTAATTTATAAAGACTTGTGTGCTTCATTTCTTTCTCTCGATTAAAGTTGTATTCACTGCCTAGTGACATGACCCAGTAATTGATCTTACATTAAAGCAATAAAATAGTAGACTTGATACAATGAAAAAACACTTAAAATGATAAGATTTTAGCAAACTTAGCGCAAGAGGCAGCAACTACCTTGCATAAGTAACTCCTAGTAAATAAATAATAAATCTTATTTATATTGTTGCCAATGAGGTGCCAGGCGGGAAACGGATTCTCAATATAAATATTAGAGCCCAACAAATAATTTTAAACATAGTCATAAACAATTTGGTCTTATGAAATGTATTAAAAGAGTGACGTTTCGTCTTTACTCAAGACATCTTCAGACTAATTAGGAAGTTAACAGGAATATAGATATATTTAGTGCTATTTACATAGTTTGAGGTATCAGGTTACTGTGAATGTGTAGGTGTGATGTGATGTATAGTTAGAGTGAGGTGTTGAGACTAGAAAAGCTTAAGAGGGATGGAGCTGCCTTGGGTGTTAAGTGAAGGTTTCACTTAAGGAGGCTTTCGTGGATCATGAGGTCGAATGTGTCGGAGCAGGATGAGATGATTTTAAAATCGTCTGGCGAAGCAAGGTGGTTGGAGGAGTTCCTATGAGAAATAATACTTGACATTAATGGGTTAGTATAGGGTTTTCCAGTCAAAGGAGAGATCCCCAAGTGTTCCGAGATTCTGATGTGTAAGTGGCGTGTGGTTTGACCCACATACGACGCCGAACAGCATCGACACGTGTATAAATAAACAACACCAGATCTCAGGAACTTGGGAATTTTATCCTGGGAATTTTATCCTCAGAGACTTGGGAATTTTATCCTAAACGGTAAAAATTAAATAATTCGTATGGGGGTACGAAAGACGAATCTGACATTGAGATTAGGGAAAGCACCGTTGTAGAGACGATTGATTTGTGTGCATATTTGTGACGAGTGACAGCCGGTGAATGGGAGACAGAAATACACTATTTTCTTTGGAACACTAAGGACAGATGGTTTCTTTTCGAATTTTGTTTCAAGGAAACCACGGAAAATGTGGTTTAACATATTAGTTGGATAGCAATTGAGTTTGAGTAGTTTTCTGGTGGTTTCAATTTGGGCATGAAAAGTCTCATAACTAGAGCTGAGGTTGAACAAGCGGTGTAATAGGCCAAAGCTTAAGTTGCTTTTGTAAGAAAGTGGGATAAAGCTGTGAAAATTTGTGAAAAGACCGGTGAATGTGGGTTTACGATATACAGAGGTGGTGAATTTGTCGTTTGAGCGGTAATGTCATTGTCTAAAAACGGTAGTCGTCCATTATTTTCCGTCTCAGAGGTAAAAGTGATGTTGGAGTGTTGATGGTTAATGTAATGCTGTTTATGGTTAGTGAAAAGAAGATCACAGATGATATTGATTGTTTCATGTAGGGGAATGGTGGAGAAAAGAGAAGTTATGTCAAAACTAGCCATAACAACTTTGTTAGAGTTGATGTTGCTGTTAAGTATTTCTTGTACAAAAGAGAATGAGTCTTTAAACATGAAAGAGTTTTTGGAGATGGGTGTAAGCAGCGGAATGAAAAATTTAGCTAGTTTATATGAGTAGTAATTTATAGAAGATAGAATGGGTGGTAAGGGAATGGTTGGTTTGTGAATTTTTGGAAGTCCATATAGTATACCTATGCGTGAGCCAGTCGGATAGAGTTTATTGTAAGTTTGTTCATCAATTGATTTCGTTTTCTTGGGTTGTTTGAGTAATGATTTCACCTGGGTTTCACGTTGTAGGGTGACTTTCACAGGGTCTTCGTTTATGAGTTCAAATTTTGAGGAATCGGAGAGGATTTCTGACATTTTGTTATTGTAGTCGGTTTTATCAAGGATGACAACGTCATTGCCCTTGTCAGGTTTCATGACAACAATACTATTGTCATTCTTCATGTCATTTAGAACGTTGATTTGCTCTTTTGAAAATATAAAACTAAGACGGCTGTAGCTGCGAAGACCAGATAGTGCGATGCCTTTCATTCGAGTTTTTACGGATTTATAGTGAAAACCAGAGTGTTCATAGATGCTTTCATTATGAGTCGCGGCGAAGAATTTTTCGATGGGTGCGAGAAAATTACAGTAGTTTAACTTAGTAGGTGGAATGGCAAAATTTATATTAATCTTATTTGTCTAAGAATCCTATGGTGAAGAGATACATCATTCTTTTAACAGGATATATCAAACTCGTTTGCGGGGATGTATGAATATTTGTTGATTAACATTTTGAGTGGACTATATTGCTGATGATTCTGTTCCAATTAAAATTTTTGCTAGACTGCAGTTTAGCGAACACCCCAAGCGCTTGTGACCGCGGGCCCGTTTTTGCTTGTGATTATAGGGTAGGGTTTGGGTCAGCGTCCAAGGTGCCCGCTAAACTACAGTAGTCCCCATAGGACAATAGCTTGACTCTAATCGTATATTAAAATTCTTCGTCATTTTTGACAATCTGTTAAATCCAAATCGTCATCATTACTAATTGAAATGAAAATAAAGAAAACTATCTCCTATCTGCTTTACATTTTCCTCACCAAAACACAGAACACAGGGTGAGAGATAAACAACGCGACATATGAATAAAATACCGAACAAAATAAAAGTAAGGACTGCACCGAGTATCAAGTTTCTTGTATTTTTTGCTCAAACGAGATATATTTGACGTCTGTAATCACCAGTAAAGCGTATAAATAAAGGATATTTTCAGCTGCAAGGTTTTGACTATAGTTACTAAAACAAAGTGCAGATTATACGCTCGAAAGCATAAGTAATTGAAGAACAACATAAGTATTGACTTTACTTAAAACAATTATATTCGTGATCGTTCACATGTGCGACTATCACCGATGACACAGCCGAGAATATCACGACGAACAAACACTGCCTGCCTCACTGCCTCACTCAGACACTTTTCAACATGGCATAGTGGTTAGCCGCGAATGCACAGCGCCTACCCACAAAACTAACTGATGATGATTTATATTATTGATATAATACAGTATAACTTGACGTCTATAATACAGTATAACTTGATGAATGTCTTCTGCATGACGAGATAACGTAAGAAAAGTACAAACAATACATAAATCATTCACTACTTTTTCTATGAACTTTAATTTTGTAATTTTCATGTGTCCAAATGGGGAGGCACCGGCCTCTATTATATTACTGGCCCAAGGCAAAATGCCCCCTTGCCTATCACCTCACGGCGGGCCTGGCCTGTTAGTCAGTGAAGTATCTCGACTTTGTGTTGTTACACGATTTAATTCAAGTAACTAAAACAGTTAAACACGTTCGAAAACAAAACAAGTATCTTGATTTCAGTTTCTCAGTGTACATGCTAAATCAATATTCATCTAAGAATAAATTACGTGGAAAATGAATGATGATGAAATATGTACGTTATCTGGCGTTCATTTCGACCACTTGAACATAATCTTTACTTTACATTTATACATTGTATTGTTTACTAAAGTGTAATTATATTTAAAAAGAAATGTCACATTATGACGTGGCATCTGTGAATGTCAAGCGCATCACTGACTCAGAATTATTTATTATCAAATCTTCTGCGTGTAAGAGCCGCAATTTTTATAGTGGATAATTTGAAACAAAAAATGATACCTACTTTCCAGTCGTGGTATTAAATATAGCTTTAAAAGCCACTTATAGAATCATTCAAACGATTTTCATTTGGAATGGAAATAAACATTGATTTGCTTATAAAGTTTTACAAGTTTTAACTGAGGAATATAGAATCACCTCTCTAAGACAGGATTTGAATGTCAATGATTAAGACACGATTTTCGAAATTGTAATTGGATTTTCCCTTGATTAATCAAAAATTCCTTACATGTATGTTCTTGCATAAGTCAGTTCATATTATAAAATTTTTTTGTTATTGAATAAAACTTTGTAAATCATGAATACATTTTAAACATCAACTGCAAGCAAATGTAATTATTTATATATTCAATAATAAACACTGTAGATACAACAGTAAAGGATGCAACAAAAGTGAACCTTAAAACTGTTGAACAAACATAATCAAAAGTATAATTTGAATCAAAAGTATAATTGCTCACGATGTTACATGAATCAACATTTTACAAAAAATAAATTCTGTCGCGTTCTTCCTCTGTGTATATACATTTTTCCTTTGTGTAAAATTTGCTTTATTTTGCAAATTACCTTACTTTCAAAATCAATGGTTTGTTCAATACAATCATCAACCTTATTCAAGACACACAGAATTCAGTCAAAAGTGGCGTCGTCAAAGAAGGGAGGTGATGCATAATTTGACATGTTCCCCCCCTCCCCTCTACATAAAATTTCACGTATTCCCATTTTTTTTTGTAGACAAGTATAGTTTGTATAACTCCCGCAGCATAAAAGTTCTGGCACCCGCATGCAACGTTTGGTATTATTGATGGTAGATGTCAACTAGATACATACAGAAAATGTACTTAGAATTAGATAGGAAATGCACAAACAACAAACAAAACAACAGAATATAAGTAAAGTATCATTACCGATTGCTCACGTTTATATCCAGATCGCAATGATTTGTATATTTTCGATAAAGAGTTAGAAGTACGAATAGATTACGAGTTCGTAAGTTTACAATAACAACAATATTGTTTCGAATCTTGAGAACTGGCACTAGTGTCAGTTACAGTTAATAAAGAAAAATTCCGCATCCTACATATAGAAAATATTCTCATGTTATTCTGCCTCCCCCATACTTTTCAACAGGTTTTACTTTTCTTTACCATGCAGCTTATTGTCAATAGTTAGAAAGTTGGTATATCAACTTGAATATGATTTGTCTTGAATGTTTAGTCATACATTATTGAGATGCTTTAGTAGAAAATTTGTTATTTAAAGTTAGTAATATAGGTTCAGAATCTCGCTTTACTTTCGACAAATTACCTACGTTTTAGAAATAAGACTTCATATATGGCGATTGTGTAGACAAAATCATGCTTGCTTTAGTTCTTTACACGTCACATATCTTAGAAAGATGAGAGTTTTAATATAAAGAACGCGACCGCATACATATATCAGTTTAAAAAATGATGATCATAATTCATACCTTATTGTCTTATTGTTACATCAATCTTTTATCCATGTAAGTTTTGTTACATAAACACATTTAAATAGCAAACGAAGGTGAAGAGTGAGTCAGGATCTCCTTCAACAAACAATATTATAAAACATTTATGACATCTATGTAGAACAAATCAGTTATATAACTAAGTATACATCACTGACTAAAAACAATTGTTATAGAAACAAAAATACATAAATGAGAACCTCATGCAGAATACATAATAACATTGAGATTAGTCAAATTCCAAAGGACTACTGCTAAATCTTATAAAGTTTCACAAGTTTTAACTCAGGAATAGAGAATCATCTATCTAAGACTGGATTTAAATGCCGATGATTAAGACACGATTTTCGAAACTGTGAATGGATTTTTTTCCTACAAAAAACAAAAATTCCATACATGTATATTCCTGCATAAGTCAGTTCATATTATAAAAAATCTTTGTTGTAAAATAAAACTTTGTAAATCATGAATACATTTCAAACATCAACTGCAAGCAATTGTAATTATTTATATGCTCAATAAAAAAAACTGTAGATAGAGCAGAAAGGATGCAATGAAAGTAAATCTTAAAACTGTTAAACAAACATAACAAAAAATATAATTTTAAAAGCTCACTGTGTTGCATGAATCAACATTTAACAAAAATAGATTCGATCGCGTTCTTCCTCTTTGTGTAAATACATACTTCCTGTGTTTAACATTTGCTTATTTTTCAAAATTTCCTTACCTTTAAAAGAAATGGTTTGTTGTATACAATTATCAACATTTTGCTAGACACACATAGATTAATCAAAAGTTGCGTCAGCAAAAAATGGGAGGTGATTCATGATTGGAATGTGCCCCTCCCTACATAAATTTTTAAAGATCTCAGTTTTTTCCATAGACAAGTATAGTTTATAAAGAGAAATTCATCGGTATTAATACAGGATTTGAATGCCAATGATTAAGACAGGATTTTCGAAATTGTGAATGGACTTTTCCCTTCATTAATCAAAAATTCTATACATGTATATTCTTGCATAAATCAGTTCTTATTATAACAAACCTTTGTTATTGAATAAACCATTGTAAATTATGAATACATTTCAAACATCAACTGCACGCATTTATAACTACTTATGATCAATAAAACAACTGTAGATACAACAGTAAAAAATGCAATAAAAGTAAACCTTAAGACTGCTAGATAAACAAGATCAACTTATAATTTTAAAAGCTCACTGTGTTGCATGAATCAACAATTTACAAAAATAGATTCAGTTGCGTTCTTTCTCTGTGTAAATACATTCTTCCTGTGTCTAACATTTGCTTATTTTTCAAATTTTCTTACTTTTAAAAGAAATGGTTTGTTGTACACAACAAACAATATTTTAATAGAGACACAGATATTAGTCAAAAGTGGCGTCAGCAAGAAGGGAGGTAATGCATGATTGGACACGGGGCCCTCCCTACATTAATTTTTACAGATTACCATTTTTTCATAGACAAGTATGATATTTCACCTCTCCCATACCTTTGAACAGGTTTTCCTGTACTTTACCATGCATCTTATTGTCAATAGTTAGAAAGTTGGTATATCAATTTAGATATGATTTCTCATGCATGTTTTGTCATACTTTATCGAGATGCTGCTTTACCTAATATGTTATGTCTGTAGTGTAATTCTAAAATATCGCTTAATTTTTCTAAAATTACTTCCGTTTTAGAAGTAAGACAACCATATGAACAAAATTATGCTTGCTTTAGTTCTTTACATGTCATATACTCAACAAACGGATGAGAGATTTAATATAAACAACGCGACCACATACATATCAGATTAAATATGGTGATCATCGTTAATGCCTTATTGTAACATTAATTTTTTATCAATGAGAATTTTGTTACATAAACACATTAAAATAACGAGCGATAATGATAAATGAGTCAGGATCTCCTTCAACAAACAGTATTATGAAACAATAATGATATCTATGTTACAATATAGGGAATATACACTAGGTCCACTTCGTGTGGAACTGGCTGCATTTTATCATTCTTATCTGTCCGAACTTGCAATTGACTTGCTGCCACTATGGCAGTCGCATGTGCAATGAGATATTCGTGGTACGAAAAATTCAATGGAGTGGCTCTACTGTATGTTCTTTTATAGTGTGTCTATGTAGAAAATCTCAGTTGTATAACTAAGTATACATCATTGACTAAAAACTATTGTCATAGAAATAAAAATACATAAATAAGTACCGCATACAGAGTGCACGATAACATTGACATTAGTCAAATTCCAAAGGACTAGTGCTAAATGTGATAAAGTTTCACAAGGTTTAACTTAGGAGTTGAGGATCAACTTCTATCTAAGACAGGATTTGAATGTCAAAGCTTAAGACACGATTATCGTAAATTCAATGCTTTTTTCATTTCATTCATGAAAATTCCATACAAATAGATTATTAAGTTTGAAAATTGGCAATCCAGGCATTTAGTACATAAAAAATGAAAGTTTCTCCGTATTGTTTGAAAATTATTTTTTTGAGCTTTCGACTCGTTGCTTCGACCCTTCATCAGAATGGAGAAATTATTATTTACATGTGCCTTTAGCTTGTAGACGCTTAGACCGTCTAATTGGATTAGCGGGTGGATTAATGTGATTGGATGGGGTGGAATGCGTTGCCATCCATTTTGGTGTATTGTGAATATGATCGGTGTTAATATTATTAGAGTGTAATGTTGTAGTTTTGGTGTTGTTTGTAGTTTTTTTGTCCTTTTTCTTTAGTTGTGAGTATATGATGGGTATGTCCATATGTCTATTTATTGTGTCGTCTATACTGGAACAAGCTTCTTTAAATTCGCGTGCGTGTTTAGTCTGTGCGCGCACGAGTACTTTAGTTTCTGTCCAGTCGAATGTGTGGTTTTTTCTGTGGGTATGTTCTGCTAGCAGTGAGTTCGGATCTCGTCGTTTTATGGCATTTTTGTGTTCTGTGAATCTTGTTTCGATTTTCTCTGATGTTTGTCCTATGTATTGCTTTGAATAGTCTTTACATGGTATCATGTAGATCGCGTCAGTTGTATCATTTTTTTAAATAGATTATTGCATAAGTCATTTCATATTTTGAAAAACCTTTGTTATTTAATAAACCGTTGCAAATTATGAATAATTTTCAAACTCCAACTACACGGAATTATAGTTACTTATGATAAAAAACACTGCAGACACAAGAGTAAAGGATGTAATGAAAATAAGATAATGCTTATCTCAGATGTGTAGTAAGATGAAAAACACATTGTAGTTGAGTCTCAGAAGGCAAATTTAAAAGATTAGTGGTACCAGTAAGGGAAAGAATACACATAAAGCGCAGTTACGATTTCAAGAAATAAATGCTTAAAGTGAGTTAAATCACAGTATAGAAATATTCAGTAGGGCCACTTTGCTGTACAACTGGCTGCTGTATATTTAATTAGGGGCTGTTCACAAGCCCGCTAGCCGGGATTCAGCGAATCGTTAAAACATTTTGGCAAATGGAAAAGATTAAATTCTTCATGACAAAAATCTTATTTGAGCAGTTTCTCTGTACTATGACTTTGCAAATTCCCAAAACCTTTAAAATAAAGAGAAATAATTTAGCTTGATTTGAAAATTATGACTAAAATGACTTATGACGCTTAAGAAAAGGTTGTAAATTTTGCGCTTAAAGCTTTAATTCTTTTCAATGACTTAAAATAATTTTACACCTCGCAGAATCACTGTTACCGGGTTCTTAGTTTACTGGCTGCCGTTTGCCATATCGTCAATCCTATTGGTCACAAAATGCAATTTACTGGCTGCCAATATGGTAATCACATGCGTAATAAGATATGCGTGGCACGACAAAATTTAATGAAGTGGCTCTACTATATGTTCTCTATACAGTGGTTAAATGTTCTCTTTCATCTTGTGGGATTTTTTCTTTGAAAATATGAAAATTCAATCTCTGCCAAGAATATTTGTTAATATATGCAAAAATACATTTGACCAGAGATGGTACATAGTAATTCTCTCAGTAAATATTAATGTTATGCAAAGTTTTTCCTCCCATGACCATCCATAAAGTGAACATACTAAACATGTCAAGAACTTGAGAAAAGTTATTTCTTTTTGTTTTTGAAAGATAGAACTATGTTGAAATTACAAATTTACTGGGGTGTCAAATTTAGGATTTTTGTCTCAGATTGAAGAATTGGCACATGTAGCATGTTGTTTGTCGGGGTCATTTTACACCTTCAAGTTGAGATTACTTCTTGTAAACGAAATGCATACAAACTCTTACACAAGTAGTTCTTGACCACTAACTCATTCATTACACGTTTGTAGTTGATCATGCGGCGTGCATAAATTAAACATTTGTTACTTTTTTACAACTTGACGTTACGAACTTTACTAACATCCATCTTATTGTTGCTAAAATGTAACCGTGAGTTAGCATTGGTTAGTAACAAAGTGTTGCACTACGAGTCTACGACAAAGATACACTTTGTTTCACCAATACCAATTTAAAGTCTTATCTCTAACGATAGAGACTCACGTTTTCAAACGTCCTTCCATATTTGCTAAATTTCAACATTCTACGGTCGTTTACGGCATAAAAACAACAGCTTCCATACTTAACTTTATAAAAGGTTATTTTATGCATGCACAGAAGCACAACACAAACAGAAAAACACGAACGCAACCAGAAGTAAACTATTTTGAGTTTACTCGATAAATTCCATAGCATTTCTAATTCAAGTAATGCTCTTTTAAATAAGTTGAAACTGTACATGTTGCGTTGACGCAGGAATGTTGTTAATGAAGATCGTATGAGACAATATATTTTACAAGAACTCAATGAATGCGGTATTTTGCTTGCACATAGAGCTATTTGGAGGCTTTTGCAATCTAAGTATAACGTGCTAGTACGTTATTTGACTTTTCAAACAATGCTTAAAGAAATCGACCTTGAATCAACGAGACCTCGACGAGCAAACAGACTAATAAGAAGAAAGTATTTGAATCCAAGCCCAAAATACACCTGGCAATATAAACTGAAGCCGACAGGTAAGATAAACTGAAGCCGTATGACTTTGCATTTCACGGACACCCTGACGGCTTTATATTTAAATTTATCGGCTGTCGGATAATTGTAATCAAAATTATGCGATAACCTATAAGTATAAATAAAATTACGCCAAAGGACATCGTGTCGTGGTGAATTGCACGTGAGAAATTGAGTTACATCAACTCATTTTCTAAAGATGATTGACTTCTAGGCAATGATGTAGAACTTGGACAGGACTTGTTTTTATATTTATTTCGGTATCCGAATGATTTTTTGAACCATAAGATAACAAAAAGCTCCATCACAAACTTATGGAGGGTGATCTCCCACAAAATTAATAGCTATATTTTCAATTACTAATGCGCATTTTGTCCTTTGCAATGTGCATTTTGTCTTGATAATATTCCATTTTGGAATTTCACAATCGGATTTTGTCCAGTACAATTTCTGTTAAAACTCATTTTGTTGTTGAACATTCCATTATGATGACGTAACATTATTCGTGACTCGCAAAACATCAAATTTATTCGATAACATTATAATTTATTTATAACATATTTTCTTGATGCGGTAATAATGAAAACAAAATAAACAAATTGTTTTACCTACAAATCTACAACCCTAAAACATGGCAGACAGGTTATACTTTGTAAGACTCCTTCGCAACTCTAGTTTGTGTTGTATTGCTGACCTCGAAGGAAGTCCAGATCGGGATTTTTGCATTTTTCGTATCGACAATCAACTGCTTCTCTTATTAATAAAGACGACTTAAAAAGAATTATTGAAATTGAAGAAGAAGAAGAAGGCGTTCATTGTAATCAACTGAGGTTGTTTTTGAAACAATAAATTGATCTAATTGATGGGACAACTACTGGTAAGTGTTTTGGTAGAAAGATGCAGGGAAGGTTGTAATTGGTTGTAGTCAGTCTATGTATGTGTTTTTTTTGTGTGAATATGGTTTGTTTTTTAATATTTGCACCACAACGGATTATATATTATATGTTGGAGCAGCAGTAACTTTATCTGTTTTAACAATGTCAATGTCAGTAATATTTTCTTGCTTTTAAATTGGACCTTTGCTTTCTCCAAAAAAAAACTTAAATGTTTGACTGTTCGAGGTACTAGTTATATTAATACTTTAATACTTGTCCATTCCTAGGGGCAAATCTTAAAGATCTGTTGTCTTTTTGTACTGGGTGTGATTTACTGCCTGCAAATGGTGCAATCATGTATCTCAAAGTTGACAGAGCAAAAGATCGTAATCTGCTGCCAGAAAGTAGAACTTGTTTTCACTTGTTAGTTCTTCCATGTTATGAAAACTTCGATGAAATGAAAGCTGAACTGGGTAGAGCTTTGCAATTTTGGTTCAAGAGGATTTACCAATATTTCATCTTGGAACAGTTTATACATCTCTTTCAGCAATAACATAGCTTGTTACAGCTAATATGGATGATGCCCAAATTTGAAATATTTTTATTCTTTGTTTTGGATATCATTTTTATAGTTAAAGACTCAAAGTGAATATGTTAATGTTTCATTAAATTTTGTTCTGGCAGTGTATCAGCATTTATGTGCTAAAAACGTTTTTTCCTAAAATGTTTGAATAACCAACATAATGAAAAATTTATAGCCTTCCTTGCCATACATATCTTGTTTTGTATTATCTGAATTGACACCAACAAACAATAGGTCAAGTAGCTTTTCTTGTTTTGTGAGTTCACAATGTCACTCGTCTTCCTGGTGCAGTCTGGTATTTACAAACTGAAGCACCTCAATGTATATGTCAGCACCATTATGATTAGAAGGCCTTAAAGGATTAATGGTACTTTGCAGCTCATCAAGATCTATTTCATTCAATGGAATGTTGGTTTCTGGAACAATCACTTGTTGCTTATCTGTTTCATGACATGCGTAGTTTTGTGTAAAGGTGGGTGGAAATTCTTGGTTCACCTTAGTGAATTGGAATATTAAATTAGATTCTGACTTCAACATACATCAATTAGCTTTGGATCCAGTCTGATGATTATAATGTAAAGTGTAGTCTAAAAGTAAAGTCATGAGTTATTGCATAAAAATACCTGCTGTATATGGTCATTTGAATTATTGTCTAAGCAGGATCCTTGGATCCATAGCTGTTCAGGTGATAGATTTCTTTCTGTTCTAATAGGAGATCTATTGTAACCTTCCTGGAAAATTTCCAAATTTCTGTTAATAATTGGACAAAACACATAATGCAATGAAAACACATGTTCTTCATTTGATGGATCCAAGATTCCATTACTTTCCATATGATAGAATAAATGATAAAAAAGACTTGTACAACCAACAAAAAGATCTCGCCAAAAGCGCTCAATCCGTTGGTTGTGCACTCTTCTTCCGGTAATATGACTGCAACGACCAGGTCCTCGCAAATGGTGGTTTAACATAAATTGAGCAATACCAACAGTTTCGCCTCCTTTATCAGTTCTTACTCTGGATGACAGTCCATATAGAGATACACCAGATAGAAATAGTCTTAGAACAGTATAAGCTCAATTGTTTGTGCTACAGCGAATAAATACCAGCAAACGTGAATAGCCATCTATTCCTGCATGAGTCACAAATCTCCCTCTAAAAATATGAAACTACTAGCACATTTGTATGCAAAACTGAGATTTATTAACGCCACAAAATAGGTATTTTTTAGTAGCCAACCTAATCAATTTGTGATTGCCATCAACATGTTAAAGTGACAAGGGGCTAGTAACATGATATTTACGTCAGTGTAACCTGTGGATCCAAAAAATGTACCCTGTGGATCAACTCTTCCCATCATTTCACGAATCCTATCCTGCTGAATTCGCAAACCTCTTGCTAACAGCAATCCTGACATACGTTTGTAGCCAAGATTGGGAAACTCGTTCGTTAAGTTTCTTATGACCAACTCGAGATCTGAATCGTTAACGTCAGAATATTAATTATAAACTGATAAACCAATTCGTTCATCCTCCTTTCAATGGCTCTTTTGCTGACTCCCAGAAGATTTGCCGTATCTTTCACTGTAAAACGCTTATCCAAAAAATAACGCAGAACATCTTCGTTTACTTCATACATTGGTCGCCCTGGTGTGCCATTGAAAACTTGAGGGCAGTTCAATGAAGAAGATGGATTAATATCATGATGAACATCGACATTTAAAAGTTCTTTTGCGTTTGAGATTAACTGCAGAACAGCCTCTTCAAGCTCGAACACTTCAGCAAATCGCAACGTAGTATGGTAAAGAGAATCAATACGAAAAACGCAAAAATCCCGATCTGGACTTCCTTCGAGGTCAGCAATACAACCCAAAATAGAGTTGCGAAGGAGTCTTACAAAGTATAACCTGTCTGCCATGTTTTATGGTTGTAGACTTGTAGGTAAAACAATTGGTTTATTTTATTTTCATTTATATTACCGCATGAAGAAAATAAATTATAAACAAATTATAATGTGATCGAGTAAAATTTGATGTTTTGCGAGTCACGAATAATGTTACGTCATCATAATGGAATGCTCAATAACAAAATGCGTTTTAACGGAAATTGTACAGGACAAAATCCGATATGAAATTCCAGAATGCAATATGATCAAGACAAAATGCACATTGCAAAGGACAAAATGCGCATTAGCAATTAAAAATATAGCTTCTAATTTTGGCTGAGATCACCCTCCATAAAGAAGTTACCAATATATTTTGAAGAAGCGCGCAATTGACCGCGTTTTGCTAATGTCAACTATTACGTCACAACGACCTTTTTCCAATCGGTAGCCATCGTTAGCTCGTCGGGCATTTTTAATACGTTATCAGTAAAGCATCAACTTTAAACTTCCATATCTTCAAAAATATTTATCCTTTGAGTCTTAATCTTTGGTGAACTATTAGTTGGAGCTATACCTTTATGTAAAGTACAAAAATAACAATCCGAATTTTATGTTGCATGTGTCCTTTAAGTAAACAGTACAATGTACAAATGTAAAGTAAAGCAGGGGCGGATCTAGAGTATGTCAAATCTGTCGCGCGACTGATGTTTGAAATTCAAAAATTACCTATTCATATTAATTAAAAATTCATT